ACTGAGGCTGTAGACCCAGGACTGAGGCTGTAGACCCAGGACTGAGGCTGTAGACCCAGGACTGAGGCTGTAGACCCAGGACTGAGGCTGTAGACCAGGACTGAGGGTGTAGACCCAGGACTGAGGCTGTAGACCCAGGACTGAGGCTGTAGACCCACATGTTATTAACAGTACATATACTGTATATTAACAGTTTAAATTGCTTGTTAATATTGATACATACGTCCTTATTTTGCTAAAGTTAAAGATTTTATTTTATTTTATTATAGAGTTATTGTTAATCTAGCTTGTGCTGTGTGCTCCTCCCTCCTACCTTTCTGTTCTTGGCGATGCAACACTGACATTTCCCATCTGTGAAACGATACTAAGGATCTCTCAATCTTAATTTGATCTTAATCACCAGTCCATTTATAAATCCAATTTGTGGTATTGTAGTAATAATCTATCCTGAGCTTAAACCCGGTGTAATGCCTGGTTATCCGCCTGTGTCCCGCTGTAACCGTGACCCTGCTTTCCCTCTCCCCTCGCAAAACGGGGCCAGAGCGAGAAACCTTATCTCGCTCTCGCAGACCTTCAATCTTTCTCGCTCTTACATAGTTAATGAGGAAGAGGAGGAGGAAGAGCAGAGCAGAGAGATAGAGAGAGAGAGAGGTCCGGTTTCTCAGGGGCCATGACATAAAAGCCTCTTGGGGACCCCCAGAGAGAGGCCCGTGTCATTGACGAGCAGCAAAACACCAAACAAGGTCCTTCTCTGTCCATTAAGGAGTCAATGCAGCAGCAGAACATTGTTGGGGGGTAATTAATGGGCTCTATCTGGGTGGTACGGGGAGGCACTGGGAGGCACTCATGACTCAACACTAGTACACTCCCAGAGCAGTCGTTTTGACGGCTCACATTCAAATCGACGGAGCTCTGGGGAAAATAAAATCTCAAAAAATGGTTATTCAAATGTGTTTTTAATCTTCAAATACAGGAAAATAGTTTGTTGAAATGAAAAAAATGAACTGCTGCCAAGTTAACAGTGTGTTGCCGTGGTAACTTGGAAAACGGTGTGTTGCCGTGGTAACTTGGAAAACGGTGTGTTGCTGTGGTAACTAGAACCAATCAAAAACCAGTCCAGGAGCAGTCCCAGTCGTTTTGACGGCTCCCATTCAAATCAATAGAGTTCTGAAATAAAATCTCAAAAATGTTTATTCAAATATGTTTTTATCTTCAAATATTGTTGAAATTAAAAAAATGAACTGCTGCCAAGTTAACAGCGTTTTGCTATGGTAACTATGGTAAACAGTGTGTTGCTATGGTAACTACTGTATGGTAAACAGTGTGTTGCTATGATAATTAGAACCAATCTAAACCAGTCCAGGTGAGCAGTTGCAAAAACCAGATCAGGATCAGACCGGTCCGGGACCAGTCCAGGGCCAAACCAAAACCAGTCCAGGACCGCACCAGTCCAACACCAGTCAAAAACCAGACCAAGACCAGTTGAATACAAGTCCAGAGAAAACCAAAGAGAGAGACCAGAGAGAGACCAGAGAAACCAGAGAAAGGGACGAGAGAGAGAGACCAGAGAGAGACCAGAGAGACCAGAGAAAGGTACGAGAGAGAGAGACCAGAGAGAAAGACCAGAAAGAAATGCCAGGGAGAGACCAGAGAAAGAGAGACCAGAGAGAGAGACCACAACGATCCACCTCTATGGGAGCTGAAGTTGGCTGAATGATTAACATGATGTCAATCTATGTGGGAATCATAAACGCCAAAGTCAGTGTCGGCGCTGAAGTGACTGACAGCAACTGTACCATGTCTGTAATGGGAGATATCTAGAGTTAGCTGGATGGCTTAGTTTAGCAAAACAGAGGACCACAGACCATGCCACAGCGGGCCACGATTAGCCCCCGGGCCTGAGGTTGGACCGGCCTGCTACAGAGGAACATTCACACAGATGGATCCTTCTTCTATTCTACATCATGTACCGAGTGTTTGCTTTATTTTGCTGAATATTATAATCCTGTCGGAGCCGGACGGAGCGGACCTGGCTCCTTCTGCAAATCTATTCGTATTTTGGCAAACGGCAGCGGCATTTTGAATTTAAAACATAGAACCAGCAAAGGTTTTTTTCTCACAATTCCAGGATTGATTCCAGTAATGTGCCTGAACGGTTTCACAGGAGCTAACGCCAACTCCCTTTAGCTGTGCGCGCTTATAGGGAGGTTTTATTAGCTTTTATTGTTTTGATGCATTCAGAGTTAGAGGAAGTTTGTGAAGAAAACTGAAAATTATGTACAATATGTTTGGATAAAAGTGGTTTGGCAACAAATAATGATTGGAGAAAAGAAGGTTGGAGATTTGGAGAATAGTAGTAACGCTTTTGTCGTCCCGGAGGACGACAAAACAATACACAGAAAATGCAGTAGTAACAAATACATAGGAGTCATTGGTCCAAAACGACTGGGATGTATACAGACAATGCTAACACAGACTGTATACTGACGCTAATGCTAACACAGACTGTATACTGACGCTAATGCTGACACAAACTGTGTACAGATGATGATGCTAACACAGACTGTATTCAGATGAACAATGCTAACACAGACTGTATCCTGACGCTAATGCTAACACAGACTGTATACTGATGCTAATGCTAACACAGACTGTGTACAGATGATGATGCTAACACAAACTGTGTACAGATGAGGATGCTAACACAGACTGTATACTGTTGGACAATGCTAACACAGACTGTATTCAGATGAACAATGCTAACACAGACTGTATCCTGACGCTAATGCTAACACAGACTGTATACTGATGCTAATGCTAACACAGACTGTATACTGATGCTAATGCTAACACAGACTGTATCCTGACGCTAATGCTAACACAGACTGTTTACAGATGAACAACGCTAATGTAGCAAAGTCAATTTTAGTGACCTCTCTCAAAACTTTACAGTGTATTTTTTTTATTTGTTTATGTAAGTGTTATGTGAATTACACAGTTATTACTGTATTTTTATTACAAGTTTTATTATTTTTATAATTGTTTTTTGTCCTGGTCTTTGATTTGTTGTGCAGCTTTGGTCCTCCAGCCACTCCCGTGTTTATATTTCTTCTTCGTGTGTCCCCCGTTCCCCCACTATAAATTTGGGGTTTTTCGCTGCCTCTTCCCTTTGAAAACCTGTGTCAGGGAAGAAGTCAGTCACTTTATGTTTTTTATGTCTCAAAATGTCCATTTTAATTGTAATTTTGTTGTCATTTACGTTTTGTATGTCTTTTTAGTTTGGGGGCTGTGAGTGATGCAGAGGCACATGTTCATTGTTTTTGTTTTTTATTGACCAGACCAGATAAAAGAACGCCTCGTAAACTCGTCTCCCGTGTGTTCCTCCGCACCACACAATCAAGTAAACACAACGCAGAGCGGAGAAAATCAGACCCGTTACACTAACACAGACTGTATACAGATGCTAATGCTAACACAGACTTTATACAGATGCTAATGCTAACACAGACTGTATACAGCTTGCTTATAGCCTCTTCAGCATTTAAGCTAGCCCTGTGGTGATGTCACACTCTGTCAGTCCGGTGTATTAGCCTTTAGCGCTGGAGTAAGCTACAGTTTGATATGGATTTCACATTTAAGGATGGTGTCCAGTGAGAGAGCGGCTAAAGAGGAAAACCTGGATCTATTAAATCTTCTCCAAACTCCGATATTCCGACGTACGGCGAGAAGTTACGAGGCCATAAAGATAACATTTCAGCGTTTCACTTTGAAGGAGAAATCTGATTTTTATGGATGCGTTTTTGTGTCAGGGAATAGTAAAGACAAGTTATAGAGACGTTTTCTGCTTCAAAGACAGACGTATCGTATCTGATCGTTTAAGGAGAGAGAACAGAGTGTTTGAGAAATGTAGTTCACAGAGACTTTTGTGATTCGGGAATGATTTTATTTATGTATTTATTCAAAAGTTTCTGTATTCGTCATTCATATAATCTCTGATTTCTCTCTAATCTAATTTTTCTGATCCACTCTCTGGTCTCTCTGTGTGCTCTGTCTCTCTCTGGTGGGTCCCTCTGATCCCTCTCTCTTTGCATTCTCTCTGGTGTCTACTCTCCCTCTGGTCTCTCTGTCTGCTCTCTCTGGTCTCTCTAATCTCCCTCTGGTCTCTCTCTGGTCTCTCTCTGCTCTCTCTGGTCTCTCTCTGGTCTCTCTCTGCTCTCTCTGGTTTCTCTCTGGTCTCTATGCTCTCTGGTTGCTCTCTGGTCTCTCTCTGGTCTCTCTCTGCTCTCTCTGGTTTCTCTCTGGTCTCTATGCTCTCTGGTTGCTCTCTGGTCTCTCTCTGGTCTCTCTCTGCGCTCTCTGGTTTCTCTCTGGTCTCTCTCTGGTTTCTCTCTGGTCTCTCTCTGGTCTCTCTCTGCTCTCTCTGGTTTCTCTCTGGTCTTTCTCTGGTGTCTCTGGTCTCTCTCTGGTTTCTCTCAGGTCTCCCTCTGGTCTCTCTCTGGTCTCCCTCTGGTCTCTCTCTACTCTCTCTCTGGTCTCTCTCGGCTCTCTCTGGTCTCCCTCTGGTCTCTCTCTACTCTCTCTCTCTGGTCTCTCTCGGCTCTCTCTGGTCTCCCTCTGGTCTCTCTCTACTCTCTCTGTCTGGTCTCTCTCTGTCTCTTGTCCTTTTCTCTCTCCCCATCATCTCCCTCTTTACTGAACTAGCAAAGTTCACTTTTTACTATAGGAGCCAGACAGAGCGCCGATGCCAAACTTTGTCCATGAGCACTTCCCTTTCAGACACACACACACATACACATAGTGCCCATTACCAGAACAATAAACTCCTTTCCCCTTTCGTTCATGCGTCCGTCGAGAACCGTTCACAGCAGTGGAAACGAAACTAGATATGACCATCATTTACAATATAGTGAGTGTGTGAGGTTCTTTCCGCTTCATTTTGAGTCTGACGTGACCTCCCCCGACTCCCCCCCTCTCTCTCCCCTCTCCCCCTCTCTCCCCCATTATGTACCAAGGTAAAAACAAGTGTTATTTCGGTCTTTATTATTCCAAAATTGGTCCCTGTGGAAGAGAGACGGGTCCAGAGAGGCAGGTCCAGAGAGGCAGGTCCAGAGAGGCGGGTCCAGAGAGGTGGGTCCAGAGAGCGAGGCCAAAGAGGTGGGTCCAGAGAGGCAGGTCCAGAGAGGCAGGTCCAGAGAGGCAGGTCCAGAGAGGCAGGTCCAGAGAGGCAGGTCCAGAGAGGCGGGTCCAGAGGTCCAAAGAGGCAGGTCCAGAGAGGCAGGTCCAGAGAGGCAGGTCCAGAGAGGCGGGTCCAGAGGTCCAAAGAGGCAGGTCCAGAGAGGCAGGTCCAGAGAGGCGGTCCAGAGAGGCGGGTCCAGAGAGGTGGGTCCAGAGAGCGAGGCCAAAGAGGTGGGTCCAGAGAGGCAGGTCCAGAGAGGCAGGTCCAGAGAGGCAGGTCCAGAGAGGCGGTCCAGAGAGGTGGGTCCAGAGGTCCAGATATGCAGGTCCAGATATGCAGGTCCAGAGAGGCGGTCCAGAGAGGCGGGTCCAGAGAGGTGGATCCAGAGAGGCGGGTCCAGAGAGGTGGGTCCAGAGAGGCAGGTCCAGAGAGGCAGGTCCAGAGAGGCAGGTCCAGAGAGGCGGGTCCAGAGAGACAGGTCCAGAGAGACGGGTCCAGAGAGGCGGGTCCAGAGAGACGGGTCCAGAGAGGCAGGTCCAGAGAGTGTCCAGAGAGGCAGGTCCGGAGAGGCGGGTCCAGAGAGACGTGTCCAGAGAGGCGGGTCCAGAGAGGCGGGTCCAGAGGGAGCGCTAACATTACGGCCGCAGAGACGACTCCATAAACCGCTCTGAGGCACAAAGAGTGTATTGTGCTGTCCGGGCCGAGACTGTAAACGGCCTCCTGTGCTGTGCTGGGCCGGGTTATTATTATAGCACAGGTCATACACAAGGACACTCAAGTTATGAATAATGATAATATTAATAGTCCTGCTCTCTGGTCTCTCTCTGGTCTCTCTCTGGTGTCTCTCTGGTGTCTCTCTGGTGTCTCTCTGGTGTCTCTCTGGTCTCTCTCTGGTCTCTCTCTGGTGTCTCTCTGGTGTCTCTCTGGTGTCTCTCTGGTCTCTCTCTGATCTCGCTCTGGTCTCTTTCTGTCTCTCTTTCTGGTCTATCTCTCTGGTCTCTCTCGGTCTCTCTCTCTGGTCTCTCTCTCATGTCTCTCTCTGGTCTCTCTCCCTGGCCTCTCTCTGGTCTCTCTGTGGTCTCTCTCTGGTCTCTCTCCCTGGCCTCTCTCTGGTCTTTCTCTGGTCTCTCTCTCGACGCAGCGTAATGTGTGTGTTTGTGTCTATGGTCTTGGAGTGTATTTTTGTGTGTGTGTCTCTGTGTGTGTGTGTGTCTCTCTGTGTGTGTGTCTCTCTCTGTGTGTGTGTGTGTGTGTTGGTGATAATTACTGTAAACCATGGCTGCTGACTTGGCCTCCCTGCTCCGGTTGATGTCACAGAGCGTTGTTATTACAGCACAGACTGTACAGAGAGTTATTTCAGGCCCGAGGTCTCAGAGTCAGGAACTCGTCCGTCACCAAGAAAAGGACCGTTTTTGACAAATCTGGACTGTTTCAGATCTGACGTCATGTGTGTCTCTGTGTAGACCCAGGACTGAGGCTGTAGATCCAGGACTGAGGCTGTAGACCCAGGACTGAGGCTGTTTCCCCTTGTTATAAAAATCCTTGGTCGTTTTGTAAATGAGTTTTTATCTTGGCTACGTTGAAAGAATCGGTTTTATTGGTTGTTCTTGAAAATCCGTGAAACCGTTTACAGCGAACTCTCTGCAAATAAACTTGACTCATAATGATTTCAGATTCTCCTGAGCTGCTGTCGCCTCCTGCTCTCTCCTCACAGCCTCAGTCACAGAGAGGAAGGGAAGGGTATAAAGAAGGAGAGAGGAGGAGGAGAGGAGTAGGAAGAGAGAGAGAGGAGAGGGAGGAAGAGGGGTACGATGGTAATCACATGAAGGAGGCCAGAGGAGGAGAGGGGAAGGAGGAAGAGAAGGTGAGGAGGAGAGGGGGGAGAAGAGAAGAGGAGGAGGAGGAAGAGAGGGGGAAGAGGAGAGGGGGGAGAAGGGGAGGAAGAAGAGAAGAGGAGGGGGGGGGGGGGAGGAAGAGGGGAGAGGGATGAGGAGAGGAGGAGGCAAGAGAAGAGGTGGAAAGGGGGGAGTGGGGAGGTGGAGGAGAACCATGAGAGGAGGAGGTTTGTTAAAAAAACAAAAACTTCTAGAGCCAAGTGATTTAGAAAGATACAGATGGATTCCCCACAGAGGCAGACTTCAGCCCTGACCCTCTCTCTCTCTCTCGGGTCCGAACAGAAGCGTGTCGGGTCGTACCCCCCACGGCTGAGGCATTAGGGTCGGGCTCCAATGATCTGAGTGCACTAGACCAAGGAAATGAGGCCACTTTAGGACTTTGTCTGCGGCAAAATCATTATGGAGGGGTCAGTAATTGTTGTGGAGGAGCAGAAACCAGACTGTAGACCCAGGACTGAGGCTGTAGACCCAGGACTGAGACTGTAGACCCAGGACTGAAGCTGTAGACCCAGGACTGAGGCTGTGGACCCAGGACTGAGGCTGTAGACCCAGGACTGAGGCTGTGGACCCAGGACTGAGGCTGTAGACCCAGGACTGAGGCTGTAGACCCAGGACTGAGGCTGTATAGATCCAGGACTGAGACTGTAGACCCAGGACTGAAGCTGTAGACCCAGGACTGAGGCTGTGGACCCAGGACTGAGGCTGTAGACCCAGGACTGAGGCTGTAGACCCAGGACTGAGGCTGTAGACCCAGGACTGAGGCTGTATAGATCCAGGACTGAGGCTGTAGACCCAGGACTGAGGCTGTAGACCCAGGACTGAGGCTGTATAGATCCAGGACTGAGGCTGTAGACCCAGGACTGAGGCTGTAGACCCAGGACTGAGGCTTTAGACCCAGGATTGAGACTGTATAGATCCAGGACTGAAGCTGTAGACCCAGGACTGAGGCTGTATAGATCCAGGACTGAGGCTGTAGACCCAGGACTGAAGAGGTGAGTGGGACTAATTACGATGGGGTCAGTGATTGTTGTGAAGGAGCAGGACCAGAGAGGATGATGAAGATGATGATGACCTGGTTTCTCTCTCTCTGCCACAGAACGCACGACTCTTCAAAGTTGAGTTGCATTAGAGCTGCAGCCGTGAGTGTGATTACAGGAGCCGGGCCCGGGGGGAGGAGGGGGGAGGACGAGGGGGGAGGCGGGGAGCTGCCACTGTCCTGCTCTTGATCTCCGCTTCATATTTGTGGAGAGATCAGAGTCAACAGAGTGAGGGAGAGAGGAGCCAAAGGGGAGAGAGCCGTGATTATGAGTTAAGTGGCCCTTCTCCAGCCATTAGGAGCAGAGTGGGAGAGGGCGGGGGAGGGAGGGGGAGAGAGGGGGAGAGGGACGCATTCCACTGCTGGGTCCTCATCCTGGCACCGTGTCACCTCCTGTATCGCTAATGTTCTAACACGTGCTGCGCCCTCTGCTCCAGCCAGGTCTCTGCCAACGGCTTCTGATTATGGAACAGCCGCGGACGCTGTAGAAGAAGAAGAGAGCGAGGGCCGTGATTGGAGGAGAGGAGTCGTTATTGCTACGTTTGTAAAGAATGTTCTTGTCTTTCCTGAACCTGGCCTGTAGGGGGCGCATGTTGCTCCCATGTAAAACCATGTAAAGTCTGTTTTGGAGTCCAAGGCTCTCCTCCTGTGCGGTGTACGGTTCTTGGAACAGTCTTAATCGGGGACACTCAATTCTAAGGGAGGACTAACATATTTCTCAACAGAGTCTGGATTTTGGGCATTTTTGGGAAGAAAAACAGAAGAAATGTCTGCGTTTCATTGGGGTGGCCTGCAGGGGGCGCTTCTCTGGGAAAGCCTTGATCCACCTCGCCCGCCTCATTCCAGTGATTTTTCAAATATAAATACAAACTAAATGTAGCTTATGATGCTAGCTGTTGCTATTAGTATTTGCTCCAATAGACACATTCTATTGGAGCAGATGACCAGAGAGAGACGAGAGAGAGACCAGAGAGGGCCCTGGGAGAGACCAGAGAGAGACCAGAGAGAGACCAGAGAGAGACAAGAGATGGACCTGGGAGAAAAAAGAGAGAGACAAGAGAGAGAGACAAGAGAGAGAGACAAGAGAGAGAGACCAGAGAGAGAGACCTGGGAGAGAGACAAGCGAGAGAGACCAGAGAGACCAAAGAGAGAGAACAGAGAAAAAACCAGAGAGAGAGATCAGAGAGAGACCAGAGATGGACCAGATTACGACACATAGTACAAAGGATGTTTTTAAACGCCTGCCTTTGGATAAGACAGACTTTATTGATCTCAAACTGGAGAAATGTACAAAAACCAACACATCACAGTCTTTTACAGTAGTTTTGGAACTCGTTGCTGGTCCTGGATCTTTGAGTCGTCTTTTGTTCTAGCTCTGACTCTCTTCCGTTGATCCGGGAACAATGGGAGAGAGAAAGTGCTGAAGTGTGCTGAACATGGACCGTGACGAGCCCGAACACCCTCCGCACCTGTATCCGCGTGTTATCCCGACATTACATACATGATTTTGCTTCTTTTCATTCGCACCCGTGTATATCCCGGACTATGAAGGCGCTGGAACCATGGAGCGCAGACATCAAGTGACGGGAGCTAAGCCTGGATTATCTCAGCAGGAAACACACCTCGGAAAACTGGCTCCTCAGCGACTTTGGCCTCAAAATGTTGGGGCTTACATTATGCTCCGACCAAGAGGCTTTATGGTCCCGTCCCACTCTGCTCTATACCACTCTGGTCTTTACCAGGGGAGAGGAGCCACAGGGAGCTCTGGTGCCGATCAGAGGGAAAATACAGATCTGACTCAGGCTTTGTCTTCTATACTTGTGTTTCATGAACCTGGCCTGTAGGGGGCGCATGAGCAGAGATGGGACAGTGTTGCTCCCATGTAAAACCATGTCAAGTCTGTTTGAGTCAAAGGCTCTCCTCCTGTGCGGTGTACGGTTGTTGGAACAGTCTTAATCGGGGACACTCAATTTTAAGGGAGGACTAACATATGTTTCTCGAAAGAGTCTTGATTTTGGGCATTTTTGGAAAAAATAACAGTCCAGTGATTTTTCCAAAGTGTCCTTCTTTATGTGAGACCACAGTTGGAACATGAACAAACTCTTGTCTTTCTCTCTGTTCTCGCGGTTGCTACAATCGTACACCGCACAAAAAGATGGCATTCTGACAGCGCTTCTTCTTCTACTATATCTCCGTGTATAAACCGGGCAGACTGCACCGCCAGGACACGTCACGTCCTGTCCCACGTTTGTTTTTCGCGCCACTGCCCTGACGTCATATGAAACCCAAGAATAGGAACGAAGAGAGACCAGAGAGACCAGAGCGAGATCAGAGAGAGGCAGGAGAGAGGCCAGAGAGAGACCAGAGAGAGACCAGAGAGAGACCAGAGAGAGGCAAGAGAGAGACCAGAGAGAGATCAGAGAGAGGCAGGAGAGAGGCCAGAGAGAGACCAGAGAGAGACCAGAGAGAGACCAGAGAGAGGCAAGAGAGAGACCAGAGAGAGATCAGAGAGAGGCAGGAGAGAGACCAGAGAGAGATCAGAGAGAGACCAGAGAGAGATCAGAGAGAGGCAGGAGAGAGGCCAGAGAGAGATCAGAGAGAGGCAAGAGAGAGACCAGAGAGAGATCAGAGAGAGGCAGGAGAGAGACCAGAGAGAGATCAGAGAGAGACCAGAGAGAGGCAAGAGAGAGACCAGAGAGAGACCAGAGAGAGACCAGGGAGGCACCAGAGAGAGGCAAGAGAGAGGCAAGAGAGAGACCAGAGAGCGACCAGGGAGGCACCAGAGAGAGGCAAGAGAGAGACAGAAGAGAGAGAACAGAGAAATTCTAATACATGTTTTTGGCCTCAAAATGTCTCCCTCTCTGCACCAGGAGATAGGAGCCACAGGGAGACCTGGTCCTGAACTGACTCAGCCTTCACCTCCTCCTCCCCTCCTCCACCTCTTCCCCCTCCTCCTCTCACCTCCTCCTCCTCTCACCTCCTCCTCTCTCCTCCTCCTCCTCCTCTTCCTCAGCCCTTGTCTTTCCCAGCCTCTCTGTATACTGTAGAAGCGTGTTTACCAGTGGAATGAGGCTGAGCTCTGACTCTGCTCTGACACTAATCCTCTTTGATCAGAGCAACACTGTCCTCCTTTAAACCTGTTAAACCTGATAAATATGAGTCTAACGATTATCACACTCTTTATGTAACATTATCTAAGTCAGGGCGCTGCTAATGGGACAGAACCGGGAGCCGGGGCGGCGCTTAGAACTAATGCTAATGCTAAAGCTAAAGCTAAGGCTAAGGCTAAAGCTGAAACTAAAGCCTGGTTTTACTAAGATGCAACAACTAAAGCCTGGTCCATGTCCTCAGTCACTAATGTTCGTTTCTCTACAACAGAAATTTAAGACATTCATAAAAACTGGAGCAATTTTTGACTCTGTTCAAAAGTTGGTAACAATACATTGTTTTTGTTTTTATCTTCTGTGAGATTGGCAGGAAACACATCTGCTCCATTAGTATTTGTCTGTGTTGTTTCTTTATGGTAGAATACGCTGAGACTGAAGCAGAACTATGTGGACAATAGTACCATGAGGACAATAGTACCATGTGGACAATAGTACCATGTGGACAATAGTACCATGTGTTAGTATAGCATCATAAGATACATTTATTTGTATTTATATATTTGGTGAAAGTAACTTCAAAGTACTGCAGTAGTGTAATACTTTACTCAGAGACAGTAATATTGTAGTAACATTTACTGGTAAAACATATTGTCGTCTTTAAACAGTTTCCTCAGACACAGAGTAAGGACTGAGTCTGAGGAGGACTGTGGAGAGTCTCCTGGGTCTACAGTCCTGGGCCCCAGGCAGGGCGATGGTGCAGCTCACAGGTCCGGGAACACAGTCCTCCGGTGCAGATTGTGGAGCGACCGGTGTAACGTCGGTTGTAATGAAAACCTGCGTCTCACGGCAGCCGAAGCAAACCAAGATGGCCGACATTAATCTTGTGAATGGCTTTAAAAGTTTAAATATGAACAAATAAAGACACAAATGTCACTCTTGATGCAATTTGAGGCGAGATATCGACAGTTCTATATTGTAATATGTGTGTTTTAAGAGTCAAAGCTTCGTGTAAAGTTAAAGTTTGGTTTAAGCAGTCAACTGCTCCTGTGAAACCGCACTGCTACTGTTTTGATAGCGTCCTGTGGCTAACTCGACAGCTGTTAGCATGCAAATGGTCTGTCGGGCTGATAACGGAAATAATAAACACAATCTAAGTTGTAAGCATGGATCTATTA